CTTTCACATCTGTGTTCTTCTCGTTGTACTTCATCAGATCATAAACAGCTTCAACATGTTTCTGGAGCTCTGAATGAGTCTGATATGAGCTTCTGTCTGTGATTAATTACAGTCCGAGGTTCACTAATTAATGCCAGTAATTAAAGCAAGAGCTATATTAATTAATGCATGTCTGAATGAGCAGGTGCAACAAGAGTGGAGCTAACATTACAACAACAAAAAACCCTACAGCAATCTTTCAGTTTCAGACAGAATAAACCCATGCATGTGAATCTGCTCTTATGTGTGACGCTCTGAGTCTGTGTTCAGTGTGTATGATCGGCCTGCAGCCTTGTGGCTAAAATTAGGGTCACTCGATACCCCGACATCGAGCAAAGGGTGTGAGACGCACAAAATACCGGCTACACGGCAAACCGGACATATGGAGCGTGCACAAACATGACATCCATATGCTGGAGGATTTTAGGCTGTTCAACACAGCAGCAGCATCCTGATTGATTGTGTCTTTCACAGAACTAACTTTAGCAAACCCCATCATCTGTCTGAACACCTACACCACTGAAGCTATCAAGTGTTACGGCTACACTTTCCATTCACTTCTGCTTACGGTTGGGCAACATGACCAAAAACAATATTGAATATGGCTTATTTGGAAAGAATCGTATTGGCTATTTTACACTGTCACTGCTACAAATGATCTGTTCGAGTGGACTTGCTTTACTTGTATAATCACACATACAGTATATTCCTGTAGAACAGATGCAGATGTCTGATTTAGCCTTCGACTAGTTCATGTGTAACTCGGTCTGCGTCTGATCAATAGGTCATGAAGTAAATGATCCTCATTGATCAGCTGCGTCTGCAGGAACATCTGCCCGCTCTTCACTAGAGTCTGCTGTGTATCGATCCAGACGGAAATCAATCTCAAGCGTTTAGCATTTCATTCAGAAAGTGCTGTAACAATGAGGACTGTAACAATGACGCGAGACACCAGTGCACTGCATACTGTGTACTACATCTGCGACAGTATGCAGCATATAATCAAACTATTTGAAGAGTAGTATCATATCATATGATCATCTCATAAAAACACTGCATTGTTAAGTCAGTGTTATGTAACTGTAAAAATCCTGGCTGATATGATTTCTGTTTTAAGGCCCGTTCACACAATTCGTTCTTAAATTAAATAATGATAAAAACAAAAGGGAAAGTATCACTGGAATCAGTTTCAGAATTAATTTTTCCAGCTGATGAATGATAAAAACATTGACAGCCAATCAGGAGCTCAAGCATTTAAAGTCACAGACGACAAAACAACAGCGTGATAGTTATCGTTACAGTTATTGTTATAGTCAGCATTATACAGTAGTTACATATTGTTATAGCTATCACTATTGTTATTGTTAACATTATAGTTAACGTTATCGTTATAGGTATCATAATTTTTAACATTATCTTTGTCAAAGTTATAATTATCGTTAAAGTTATTGTTATAGTTATTAAAATTATTGTTATAGTTATCAGAGTTTTAATTATCGTTAGCATTATCGTTATAGTCATTATTAAAGCGTTCAATATTTTTAGCATAATTGTTGTCATAGTTATCATTATCATTAACATTATAGCCATCGTTATCATTTAAGTTATTATATAGCTATTGTTATCGTCATAGTTATCATCATTATAGTTCAATGTTATAGTTTTCGTTATTGGTATAGTTTTTATAGTTATCATTATCAACATAGTTATTGTTATAGTTATCATTATAGTTATTGTTAACATTATGGTTATCATTAATGTTATAGTTATCTTTAACGTTATGGTTATTGTTCTCATCATAGTTATTGTTATAGTTTTTATTAGTTATGTTAACATTATTGTTATAGTTATTATAGTTTTCGTTATGGTTATTGTGATCATAGTTAATGTTATTATAGTTACCGTTATCTTAGTTAACTTTATAATTATATTATAATCATAGTTATCATTATAGATATTGTTACAGTTATCATTAACATTATAGTTAACGTTACAGTTATCGCCATAGTAATCATTATAGTCTGGTTCTTTGGCCTTTAGTGGTCGCACTGGAAGTGGAGGTCAGGTCAGCGCAGTGCAGTGCATTGTGGGATACAGTATTCTGCAGTATGACACACATGTTGACACATACACACACACACACACACACTGATCACTCTGCGCTGATCATGCAGGCCGCGGCTGGACCGTGTGCTCCTGCGGCTCCTCGTGCGTCACACAGCTGCGGGGCAAAGACAGAAACATGGTCTCCTCTGATCAGTGATCACTCGTAGCGTGCGGGTGAGAGCGGGTGTGAGCGCTGGTGAAACTCACCTCAGTGTGTGTGGTTCATGCAGGCCGCGGCTGGACCGACCGTGTGCTCCTGCGGCTCCTCGTGCGTCACAGAGCTGCGGGTCAAAGACAGAAAATAGCTTGATAATTGCTGCTGTCATCTGACGAATGCCAGAGGGGAACAAGGCCGCGCTGACACCCCGCTGGTCAGATTAGGCCTCTGATCCCCGGAGAGCAGCCACTAACAAAGGAAATTATGATCGGCACACAGTGAGCGGCCAGTTTGAGCAATCAGAGCCCGATCTGTGCAGTCACAGCGGGTGAATTTATCCAGACAGGGGAAACTCACACTGTGAGAGATGCGCTGAGGTGGAGGCATTTCAACGGCTAGAATGACACTGAATCATCGTAAGATATTAAAGGATAAGTCCACTTCCAGAATAAAAAATTCCTGATAATTTACTCGCCCCCATGTCATCCAAGATGTTCATGTCTTTTTTTCTTCAGTCGCAAAGAAATTACGTTTTTTGAGGAAAACATTCCAGGATTTTTCTCCATATAGTGGACTTCAATGGTGGCCAGTGATTTGAACGTCCAAAATGCAGTTTCAAAGAGCTCCACACGATCCCAGCCGAGGAATAAGAGTCTTATCTAGCGAAACAATCAGTCATTTTCTTAAAAAAAATTAATAATTATCCACTTTTTAACCACAAATGCTGGGCTTGCTCTAGCTCTGCGATATGTCTTCACACATTATGTAATCCTGTTGGAAAGGTCATGCGCGGTTAGTTCTTCATCTGTGTACTTTGGTTAAAAACTCTATCTCATTTTCTCCTCCAACTTTAAAATCATCCGACATCGTTGTTTTACCTTTTTTGTAAAGGGCAATGACTTTTTTTGCATGTTGGCTTTGTAAACACTGGGTCGGTGCTTCCGCCTACGTCACACATCAGTTAATAAAGACGCGCATCACAGAGCTAACGCTAGCCAAGCATTTGTGGTTGAAAAGTGTATAAATATAATTTTTTGTAAGAAAATGAGCGATTGTTATGATTATAAGACCCCTATTCCTCGGCTGGGATCGTGTGGAGCTCTTTGAAGCTGCTTTGAAACTGTATCTTGGACCTTGAAATCGTTGGCCACCATTGAAGTCCACTATATGGAGAAAAATCCTGCAATGATTTCCTCAAAAAACGTAATTTCTTTGTGACTGAAGAAAGAAAGACATGAACGTCTTGGATGACATGGGGGTGAGTAAATTATTAGGAAATTTTCATTCTGGAAGTGCACTTATCCTTTAAAGGGGTCATCCGATGCCCATTTTCCAGAAGTTGATATGATGCTTTAGGGTCTTAATGAAAAGTCTGTAACATAGTTTGGTTAAAATTTCTTTACCCTGTCAAAAACAGCTCTTTTCAGATCAAGCCGTTTTGTAGCATTTTCCTTTAAATGTTAATGAGCTCTGCTGACCCCGCCCCTCTCTTCCGAGCTGCTCTCAGAGAGACTGTTTACTTTAGCCGCATTCATCATGAAACTTGCTAATCAGCACATTATTAGGAAAAGCGATTTGCAAAGGTTCATTAAAAAACCTTATACTCACTTCTTCTGGAGGTGAAGCTGGATCACGAATGATTTGTGCGAACATAGACGCATTTATGTAGATTGGGGCGCATTCCCGACTGCTATGTTCATTATTACATCCAGCAACAGAACACCTCAATCGCTTAGGAGTCATTCTTGTCTACATCTGCTCCGGCGGTGAAACAATGGCGGACTGATGACAGCTCACTCAGGGCGGGTCTAAGGTAAGACACCAGTCCAGTCTGTGCTGAAACGCTACTGTCAATCAAACTATTTTGTAGCATTTTTCTTTAAATGTTAATGAGCTCTGCTGGCCCCGCCCCTCTCTTCCGAGCTGCTCTCAGAGAGACTGTTTACTTTAGCCGCATTCATCATGAAACTTGCTAATCAGCACATTATTAGGAAAAGCGATTTGCAAAGGTTCATTAAAAAACCTTATACTCACTTCTTCTGGAGGTGAAGCTGGATCACGAATGATTTGTGCGAACATAGACGCATTTATGTAGATTGGGGCGCATTCCCGACTGCTATGTTCATTATTACATCCAGCAACAGAACACCTCAATCGCTTAGGAGTCATTCTTGTCTACATCTGCTCCGGCGGTGAAACAATGGCGGACTGATGACAGCTCACTCAGGGCGGAGCTAAGGTAAGACACCAGTCCGGTCTGTGCCGAAACGCTACTGTCAATCAAACTATAATGGGAGGGGCCTGTCTGTGTGACGTCACACAGACAGGCATCTGAGATCGGCTCGCTTTGAGATAAATAAAAAAAACACTGGGTGGATTTTTATCATTATAGGGTGGTTGTGTACACACACTGCCAACACACATTTCAGTTCAAACAACTTGTAAAAGTGCATGTAGCATCAGATGACACTTTTAAGAGAGCAACATGCACAGAACCGCAGATACTTCAGCAGCGGGAGAATGACACACATTAATGAATATATGCAGACGACATAATGAGCACTGCGCACACACACACTCACTCACTCGACACACACATCACATGCATGCACACACACACACACACACACTAATGCATTTCATGCTGAAATTATTACAATTACAAAACAACTCTTTAACCTCAGACTATATGATATAGTTACTTTTATACTTAGCTACAGTTATCATTACAGTTATAGTTACCATTATAGTTATCGTTCTAGTTATCATTACAGCTATTGTCACAGCTATCATTATAGTTATCATTTAATTTATCATTATAGTCATCATTATAGTTATCATTATACTGTAATTATTGTTGTATTTATCATTATAGTAATCATTACAGATAATGTTGTATGTATTGTAATGTTAACTGGAATGATAACTAAAACAGTTAGATATAATTCATTAAAGTTACCATTATAGTTCTTAGTTATAATTATAGTTATCAATATAGTTATCGTTATAGTTATTGTTACAGTTATGGTTATAGTTATCATTACCATTAACATTACAGTTAATGATATAGTTTATTAAAGTTATTGTTATAACTATTACAGTTATAATTATAGTTATCGTTATAGTTATTATAGTTATTGTTAAGGTTATGGATATAGATATCATTACCGTTAATGTTATATGTACTGTTATATTTATCATTACAGTTAATGAAACAGTTAATGTTATTGTTTATTAAAGTTATCATTAAAGTTATCATTATAGTTTCAATTTAGTTATCGTTACAGTTATCATTACAGTTAATGTTATAGTTATTGCTAGCTGTCATTACAGTTATCGTTAACATTATCACTATACTTAATGTTACTTATAGTTATGTATATATATATAGTTATTGTTATAGTTTTCTATATCATATTGATTATTATAGTTATAGTTAACTATCTTTAGTTATTGTAATCATCATTGTTATAGTTATCTACGTCATTATTTTTATTATAGTCATAGTTAACTGTTGTTATAGTTCTAGTTTTAGATCTCAACATCCTCTCAAACTGTGCTCAGATTTTGTGATCGGTCAGATGTTTCATCTCTAGTTCCTCAGAAAACCAGCGGTAAGAAGAACAGAACACATGCTGCATAAATGTCATTATCCAGAATATGCCTCAGCTAATCAATGTGCGAGATGCTCGGCGAGCGTTTGCTCCTCTGACCGCTATAAATATAGTATTTTTCCCAGAGCGCTGGAAACTGATCCCTGATCTAAAACGGATCGAGGCTGACCCGAGCCGCTGCCTGATTCCCTGACCAAAATCAGACCAACATCAGACTAACATCAGACCAACATCAGACCAACATCAGACTAACATCAGACCAACATCAGACCAACATCAGACTAACATCAGACCAACATCAGACCAACATCAGATTAACATCAGACCAACATCAGACCAAAATCAGACCAACATCAGACCAACATCAGACCAACATCAGACTAACATCAGACCAAAATCACACCAACATCAGACTAACATCAGACCAACATCAGACTAACATCAGACTAACATCAGACCAACATCAAACCAACATCACACCAACATCAGACCAACATCAGACTAACATCAGACCAAAATCAGACCAACATCAGACCAACATCAGACTAACATCAGACCAACACCAGACCAAAATCAGACTAACATCAGAACAACATCAGACTAACACTGCTGCTGTTGCCGGGACAACCGCACCAAACAGTGATGAGGCCCTGCCCACCAGACACCCCCGTTACCATAGATACCCTCTCACAATATCCAGATTAGAGCAGCTGAAAACACAAGATGATACTTTAGTATCACTGAGATACTGTTATAGTTTTCATTTGAATTGGATTTTTTTATTTTGCATTTTCATTTCAGTTAAAACTGTTATTTTTTGTCATTTTTTAGTCATTTTTTGTTTAAATACGTCTATATAGTTTTACATTTTTATTTCAGTTTTAGATTGAGTTATTTCAGTACATCAAGTGAAACTAGTCAAGTCAAGTCACCTTTATTTATATGGCGCTTTTAACAATACAGATTATGTCAAAGCAGCTTTACAGTATCAATACATGAAACAGGGTATATTCTAGGGTGTTGCTATGCAGTTTCTAGGGTGTACTGGTGGTTGCTAGGGTGTTGCTATGCAGTTGCTAGGGTGTACTGGTGGTTGCTAGGGTGTTTTCTAGGGTGTACTGGTAGTTTCTAGGGTGTTGCTATGCAGTTGCTAGGGTGTACTGGTGGTTGCTAGGGTGTTGCTATGCAGTTGCTAGGGTGTACTGGTGGTTGCTAGGGTGTTGCTATGCAAATGCAAAAGACTTGCAGACTTTAAATAGGATGAGTGAAGGTTTGTAAAAGCTGTACTCTGACCATCATCGTCTAGCATTTTATTATCAATTCACTGCAAAAATGAATCTCTTCCTCATTATTTTTGTATTGATTTCCAGCACAAGAATCTAAAAATCCTTAAATCAAGATAAATTTACTATTGAATAAACTCAATTCAGAGTGAAATCAGGTTTATTATTCTGACCCCACTGGGAGATATTTGTTCTTCTTTTAATAATAAAGTCACTTTATTTTAATACATTTAAAAAAAAACAGACTTCATATGTCACCTCATGGTGCTTCTCAGTAATGTATCTTAATTAGGGCTGTCAC